GGTAGCCAGAAATAGCATATCTATTATTTGACTCGAACTTGCCTTTTATAGGCGATTACAAATGGTAACTGCCAAAGATACTAATGGCTAATTAATTACAACATTAATACGGAATTGAATACATAATTAAGTCACACATTAATTACTTTGGCCGTTATTGTTCCTGGCTGGCAGGTCAGCTTGGCTGGCAGGCTGGACGCTTGAGCTCCCTCCTGTTGGACTGGACGGTGCTCCCCGCTAGGCTGGAGGAAGGCTTCTGACCGGGCTAGAGGCAGGTTCCTGGCTAGACTTGAAGGCAGGCTCCCCGTTGGGCTGGAGGCAGGCTGCTGGCCGGGCTGGAAGGCATGCTCCCACCTGGGCTGGACCGCAGGCTCCTAGCTGGGCTAGAAGACAGGCTCCTAGCTAGGCTGGTCGGCAGGCTCCTGGCTAGGCTGTAAAATTGTAAAATTGTATTAAGTATTACCACTGTCGTGTTGAAAGTTTCATATGGCAAAATGACACGGTTATGAAAACAATAATTGAATAAGGTAGTTCGAGTTTATATCGAGAAATAATTTTAATGGGTATATATTATAATGAGATTAATGTTGATAACTGTGATATTATAAATGTATTATTTTTAATATTTAATTATTAGTATGCCATTTAAGATTGTTAATTGTTTTTTAAAATGAAAAGGATAACCTTTATGCGGGGCGTCCTAAACAGGAACTGATAACCTTTCTATGAAACGGAGGGATATATTTTATTTTATGTCAAATTGTATTATTATATAATTCTAAACTATTCAAAAAAATTACAAATTTAATATTTATTTCTAATTTGGCTAAAAGTTTACATATGAAATTTTACCAACCATGCGTCAAATGATAATTTGACTGGACGGTGCTCCCCGCTAGGCTGGAGGAAGGCTTCTGACCGGGCTAGAGGAAGGCTTCTGACGTGGCTAAACACATGCGGTGTTCTACTAGTTATAACTAACTCGACAGATATTTGCGTCAAATGACTTTGGTCAAAACAAGGAGGAAAATCACAACTTCACAAGTTTAAAGCGTAGAATAATAGGCATGCATCTTCGTACAGGTAACATAATGGTTACCGTTTTATTCATAACCGTCGTGTTATTTAATTCGTTCCTGTATTCACACACAAAAAAAATCCTCATTCATATTGTGTGTATATATATTAACGTTATCACTACAATGAAAGAAAAGCATGATCTCATTTGAGACTATCTCGCATTCTGGTTAGGTCCAATAATAGATTTAAGAGTTCTGTTTGATTATTATCATATTTTTCTTGATTGTTAAATTTTCGATTTAAGTTTAGTTAGGCTTAAATAAGTCCAGACGTCCCCGCTCCGACTAATTTTTTTTACTAGTATTACTTATAATATGTTTCTTGCCCCGGCTTCTTTTTTAATTTTAAAAACAATAAGTACAACTTAAGGTTATTTTAAGATGAAGTGTTAAAATAAATAAAAAAGTATTTTCAAAAAAACTAAAAAAAATGAAATATAGAATAAAAGGGGATTAATGTATGTAATACATTTGGCATCCCAATTTGGCAATAATCCGGAGTAGCTCAGTGGAGACAGGTAACACGCTCCCTTCGTATCACCCGTGTTCGAATCCCCCCCAGGATTAAGTTAAACTTGTTTTGCTTTTCTTCCGCCCCAATTCTTCCAATTTTATTTTCTTCAGCCTACAACTCGTCCCACACCGGATGAAATAGAGGATTCACTCCTCATTTGAGCCTATATAATCGCTCCTTCAATGTTGATAAAGATTAAGTTGCTAGTAAAGCTTGAGTGCAAGTATTAGCTACAATATAAACAAATATTGAATACCCATTCGGTTTTTGTGAAAAAACCGAATAACCGGACCGAATCCAGCCCTAGTTCTCACTTCTCCCCATTTGTTCTCAGATTCTGCAATTTTCAAGTAAGTTTCTCATCTGCCAATTTATGCCCATATTAATTATTGGCTCTCATCCCTAACGAAAAGTCAGAAATTATTTGTGTGAATCCTCAAATCTCAGTTCTAGATGCAATTTAATGCTATTTGTATGAGGAACATTTTTAATTCATACTTATTTTTGTTATATTTAGGAGTATGAGTTTGGATAAATTTGTAATTAAGACTAAGAGGTCTTTGATTGGAGGTGTTAGTTCTTCAATTGTTCCTAATCAGTCTATCTCTAGTGTTGAAAATGCAGCATTTTCAAAATATGAAAACTCGTAGGATTGATTTGCCTAGGTTGCAGAAGTAAATCAAGTAGTATGTAATGAACTATAATTTTTTGTTAAATTATTACGCTATTGTTGTTCTTATTATATTTTGGACACGAACTTTAAAATTTTTAGTCTTTGGTTTGCCCCTTCTTGGACAAACCTCTGGCTCTGCCACTGCTTGTGGGTACTGGTGATCATATTAAAGTATCCACCTTTTACATTAGATTGTAAATTAGATTGTGCACACCTTCCATAAACTACATCCACCCCAAAAAGTGTTATTTAAGTTCTCTCACACACACATATAATTGCATCTTCTTCCTCCTCGACCACTTATGTGGTTTTATTCCTCTTTGTTTTATGTTCTTCAATTATCTCATTTTTCAATCTTATTCTAGATCTTCTTCAAATTACTATGAATATGTTTGTGTTTTTCTCTTCTTAACTAATTTACAACCAATGTTTTTTTCATCTAGAACAAACTTATTTGGCACATATATAAGGTGCAACTCTTGTTGGATTATTGTCTTATACTCCTGCAGTCGTTAAAAGTTTGTTAAATTTGACCGGTACATAGAATAATAAAGTAAAAACTTTGAGATGAAGATTTATGTAGATGAAATAAAAAAAATATGAGTCATAAATTCATTGATTAATCAATTAAAAAGGAAAGTGATAATTTTTTTAAGATATGATATGTTATTTCAAAATTCAAATACATTTGGCCTGGTCATGTTGTTTTATGATGCAAGAATACAATTTATTTAATAATAATGACTTTTGGCCGTAGTATGATTTATGATACAAAGGGGCGTCTAAGAGATTATATTCAAAACCTATATTTATTTAGGAGTGACTTTATATATGCACTATTCTTGAATTTTATGTTTTACTTTTCAGCCTACGAACTGTCATATGAATCATGATTGATCAAGTTAAGTTACATTTTGTTTGTTTTTTGATTTTAACAAATGTATAACAATCATAATCCATTTTTCACAAAGCTAATGCCATTTATATATCTTAAATGATATCCCCTTAGCTTTAATGTCATTTTTACTTTTCATTTTAAGAACAGATGGATGGAGTATTTATATAAGAGAAATTGGCCGTAAATGGGAATAACGAAAACCGAATAAACTCACATAGGAGTGCATTTGTTCCTAATCCAAAATAGGACCAATTTTCAGTATTATTCCTATTTTGCCCTTAATTGTTAGCTCAACTCATGTCCCCAAACCCCACATCTCTCATACAGTTTCTTCTACCCATTTCTCAAAACCCAACAGTGCGGCAACGACTTATTAGCGAGCCCTGACGAACAGCTCCGGTGAGCGCCGACGAGCAGCGGCAGTGACCGCCAGGTCTCCTCTTCCCCTCACTCCTCTGTTTCTTCAAATTTTTCCCATCTGAATCTGGTATGGGTGGTGCTGCCAAGCTCGGGGCTCTTCTTTTCTCCTATTTTTCGGATTTTTTAATTACTCTGGGAGGATTTAAACTGACGCGGGTTACTTGGCTTCTGGGAGGATTTTAATGGCTCGAAACTGTTAGGTGTTACAATGGCCATTATTTTTTGAAAATGCCATCAAATTGGCATTTTTACTCTTAAAAAAATTTAAACCGAAAATGCCAACAAAATGGCATTTTTACACTTCAAAAATTCCATATTTTCCACATAAAATGCCATTCATATGGCATTCTCAATTCATATGTTTGCATTCTAATGAAAAATTTGGCATAAGTGACGGGGTCGATCGGTTAGATCTACAGTGGCGAAGTCCGGATCCGCAACGGCGGAGCTCGGAGCTAAAGTGGTGGCTGTCAAATATGCAGGGGCGACTGGAGTCGGCCAGATCTGGACAGCGGTCAGATCTTTAGGGACAACGGTCAGATCTGTAACGGCGATCAGTTCTGCGGCGGCAGAGGCAGACGGCGGCGGAGGCGGGCGGCGGAGAACGGCGAACACCGGCGGTCTAGTATTTGTCGGCAGCAGTAAGTCAAGGCAAGCTTCAGGGCATATCTGTCCAACTACAAACATTTAGTCCTATTTGGGAAAATATTAAACTTTACTCCTATTATAGCAATTAAAGATGGATTTACTCCTATTTAGGTAAATACCTCTTTATATAATTATATTGGAATTTTATCAATTCAGGACCCGAAAGATAGATAGATTAATTATCAATTCAGGACCCGAAAGATGAAACGTATCAATATAGGACCCGAATGATGGAAAACTATCAATTTAGGACCTAACATTTCATAGGTTTTGATTTATTTAATTTTTTATTAATTCCATTACTAATTTTTGATAAACTTTTCTTCACAAAAGTTTATTAATTTAATAAAACGAAATAATATTTAAAAAAAATTAATAAAAGAAAATTATGACAACTTAGGTTCTAGATTAATAGTTTTCAATCATTCAGGTCCTAAATTGATAATTTTTCATCATTCAGGTCCTATATCGATGCATTTTATCTTTCAGGTCCCGAATTGATAATTAATCTATCTTTCGGGTCCTGAATTGATAAAATTCCAATTATATTTCACAAACTTCTTAAGAATATAAGAGCTTCTAGTTAGCCGCCTCAATAATTTGGGGTTGATGTAGTCGTCTTATGTTAAGTGTCTTGGTGGGTCCAACATATATGCACCGACGCGCATTCTCCGAAATTTCCAATGAAAAACAAGCTCCCTCAGTTCCTATATATATATATGCCCCAACCAAACACTGCTTATCATATCTTCTTTCTGCCTGCCTATACACGTACACCCGGCCTGAAAAACCAATCAAATGGGGAAGGTATGTAAAATCTCTCATCTTCATATGTTCAAGTACAATACAAATTACTGTAAATAGTTTCACTTTCACTTATGTTTTAAGAATACTTTTCTTTCGACTGATTTCAGTCACAAAGTAGAAGTGATTAAGGCCCTGTTTGGATATTGGCGGTAAGGCCAAAACGCCATTTGTTCTACAATGGGAAACACTAGTTTTTGTAGCGTTTTGGAGCCAAAACGCCAGAAAACAAACGTACCCTAAGTAGACTAGACTAAACAAAATTTAAACGGACTAGACAAGATATCATGCATTTACAAGATCATATCAATTTAGAACAAATCACACTTAAACAAATAAGATCTGATCAGAAAATTTCAATTTAATTTAAAACATTATATTCCAAATGATTTGACTTTTTTATTGCACAATAAATCAATAATATCCTCTCAAAACTCTCTTTTTGAAAAAAGAGAAAAAATTACACGGTAAATAACAATGCCTCAAATAAGTGCCTCCTATTAGTGTGTTTTCAATGGTTGAATTGATGGTTCCTTTTTCAATTGCTTGGCAGCAAAAGGGAGTGATTAGTATCAATATGAAGGATGAGAAATCTCGCTCCTCCGCCTTTAAGATCGCCGTTCGCCAGCCTGGTATGAACCAATCTATCAAACGTCTTACAATAATTTAAACATATACTCCCCCAAAAAACATTAAAGATTTAAGTACGTGTCTATGTACTCTTTAGTAGCCCATTTTGTTAAGAAATTATCCTAAATAGGATTAAAAATGTTCCTCAACTCCAAAACAAAATTGTCCTGTTTTTTTCTAAAATATGAAAAAATATTGTAACATTTTGACAGTACTAGACTTTAAACACGCCAATATTTTCAAAGGTTGACAATGATTACTTCTATCCAGCAAATAAAAACACAACTCTATTTTGTAATTAGAAAATGCTTTTGCCCATATTTGTGGAACTTTCTCTTTTTTTTGTTCCGCTAGTCTTATACTCTTATTGGTTGGATATTTCATATAGTACACGCTTTTTGTTCACACCTGTTACATTTTGTTTGTGACCTATATTTATCTATGTCACTGGAATTTGTCTACAAAGATATAGAAATTTAGAAAAAATTGTACAAATTGTTCGCGCATAGCCAATTTGTACAAAACGTGTACGCAAAATGCCCAAATATTGAGGATGACAATATCTATTTTTTCATAAGAATTCTTGTTTTATAAATGAAATAATCTATTGTATCTGTAAGTAGCTAGATTTACCACATAATTAAGGCACAATAAATCAGTTCAAGTAAATTTCATCGCTACCAAATGAACTCTAAACTCTTAAAACGGTTATCACATCTACGCATGTTTCTACAACAACAACAACAACCAAGTCTTAATCCCGAAACAACATGTTTCTACGCATTTTTTATATGTTTCTAAATATAAAAAATTGTTACATTTAATTAGGAGTTGTGGCGGCGTCTATCCAGCAAGAGAAGGGGCAAATAGAGGTGGTCGGGGAGTTCGATGCGGTGGTGTTGGTAAGTGAGCTCCGGAAGAAATTAGGCCAAGCACATATTTTGACTCTGACTGAAGTGGTTGAAAAGAAGGTCGAAAAGGTGGTCGAGCCGAAGAAGACTGAAACGCCACAACCCCAAGGCTTGACAATCACTCATCCTTCTCCCTTTTATCCATACTACTGCGATCATCACTATGGCTGCCGTTGTTGCATCAGTTATGAACCTGCCGGCTGCACCATCATGTAAAGGAATTGGAACAAAGTTCTAAATGGTCATTGAGGTTGTATCAGTTGTTTATTCTTTATATAAATATATATATTAACAATGCTGTATATGAATCTCTTCATTGAATAACCGAGTAAGTAATTAGATGTATTCAAAACAAATGTCACGAATATTTTTTTTGTTCATATATATACATCGATCAAATAGTTATTACAAATACCCGTTGTATGTAAAATAGAGTTTGTTTTAGGGTATGTTTGGGAGTTTGGAGGGAATGAGAGAGGAAGACTTTGGAGTTATGTTGGTGGAGGAGAAAGGGAGGGGAGGGTGAGAAAGTCCTTGTTTATATTTGGGAGTAATAATATTGGAAGGAGAAGGTTTTTGAAGAAATTATAATTAAAATCACTTTGAGATATGACAAACTCAAATCATTGAGCTGATATTCATTTCTAATTTAGCTTAAAATGTCATCTTGTTAATTATCATTCAAAACCCTCCAAATTGAGGGAACTTAAAAATCAAACATTTGGAGAGTTTTGAAGGGTTACAAAAGTCCTCCAAAACCACTCCTCCGATTTTTTGAACTCCCAAACATGAAAAGGAGGGTCATAAATCCCTATTAACCTTCCCCTCCCCTTCAAAATCCAACTTCCAAACACACCCTTAGAGATCGAGAAATCAACTACTCCGTATGTATTATTCATTAGATCAGATCAAAAGCAAAACACGACAATGAGGCAAAGAACAAGCCGCTCCAATATGGTCACGAACCATGCGATTTGTAGAACTCTTGACACGAGAAACATTTATATTTACAAAAAAAGCTTACATGTCTCTAATATATCACCGGCCAATAATAATCAAAAAAAAGTTTTGCTATCTCTTTTCGCGATTTTGGGGATAGCCTGAAGTACGTGCCTCTAATTCCACACCCCAACCTTGTGAAAACACCCAAGAGTTCTGAATAAGCTAGGAAAAATTATGTATGTATGACTATAAGTCATGAGATTTCCCAAGATATGACCTATAATGTTTTTTTCCTCGTGTATGACCATAGTACTAACCATGTCATCTAAAGAACAGCCATAGTACAAAATTGAGCATTAAAAGACCAATATGACCTTAAAGAAACGGGCAATAGCAGACTTTGAGATAAAAAACTATGCATTTTAAGATTGTGTAATTATTATACTCCTTCCGTTCCTTAAAATTTTGCCAAGTTTGACCGACACGTGGATTAATAAATTAAAAAATGTGTGGTTGAGGTTTGTGCAGTGGAGAGAGAATTAAATGGAACCACAAATTCTTTACTTAAATGGAAAAGTGGCAAAGTTAGTGGGACATCCAAAAAAGGAAAGTTGGCAAAGTTTTAAGAAACGGAGGTAGTAGTAGTTATAGAGTGATGTGGGTTTTCTCACACTTAAAATAGATCGTAATATAGTGGTGTGAGTACGAGTATCGTCTCCACAAGGAAGGACGGACAAAGGGGAATTAAGAATTAATTAAATTCAGCGATTAAAAAGAAATAAAATAAAATAAATTGTGTGAGATTTAATTGATTGGAAAATTAACTTGCAATTAAATGAACACTAAATCTAAGGGGTTCTTTCTAATTAACGATGAAGGAAATATGGATTGATTCCGGGGTAACCAGATTTCTGGCAGATCAGGTCTAATTACATGAAATAATTTAATTGAGCCTAGCTAGTCATTACTAAGTTCTTACCGCTGTCGCGGCGTAGAGTACAATAATTTAAGCGACCAGGCTGATCTCTCATGCGACAAGATCCTAAATTATTGCGAAGACGAGCGAGCTTACAGCCCCTTAAACGCTACTAATCTCTTAGCGAATGATTAAGTGTGTGTGAATGCGTCCTAGGATAATTAGATCTCTCTTAACTTATTCTACAAGCAATTGTAATTCTAGCTCGCGTTCTAGGTTACAAAAGATATCAGTTAAATTATTCAAACACAAATTAAACGGCATTCATGCAATTAATCCATCAAGAATCTAACCATACATCATGATTAACCTCTCCATCAATCCCAAATCCCTAATTAAACTACTCACAAAGTCACAATTCATAATTGAAGAATCAACAGAATTGGGCTGAATAGAATTGATTGTCATTAGTTAAAAAGATGGAACTTACAAAGAATCCCAAAAGATTGATGAACAAGGCTGAAAAGCTCTCTAAATTTTGTGCTAGGCACTCTCTCCCAACGCACGCGTGTGTGGCTGCCAGTGCATTTTCTGGCTTCTCTAGTCCGAATTTGACAAAACTTCCTTCATAAAAGTTGTAGATAATGAAGTCCTCTATACACGACAACTTGTCGAATTGTATTTGAATCATCCAATTAAGAGATATGAAGAAAATGATGGAAGGTCGTATTCTGAAATCGCAATAGGGATCATGTGACTGCATCATATGTTTTCACCTTCTTCCTCTCCTTTTCTTGCAATGATGTCTTCATATGATTTATAGCAATTGAAGTTTTCTTTCATATGCAACTTGAATAGTGTTCTTTGGATGCTTCTACGAAGAGATATGCTTGAACGATTGACATAAGGTCATTCTGAACTTCGTTTTCAAGCTCTATTTGTCTTCTTTTGATCCTGTAGCCAATCCTAGAGCTCTTTTATCATCAAATCTTCATTGTAAACCTCCTGGTGACCTCCAAAGCTCTCAGTTCACTCTCGAATGCTTCTCGAATCATCCCGTTTTCTCCTCAAGCGTCGGTGCCGGACTCTAAATTCCTTATTTTGACTCCAAATAACACAAAACTCGAACCGACGCCTGGTACACATAACTTGAGCAAAAATTGAGATTTGTGACACCTAAAAGTTAGGGAAAACATCAAAAACCGATCCCAACACGCATCAAATGCATGTTGTAATACGGACTTATCAGAGAGAAAGTCGGTCGTGTATGTTTTCTCAGAAGTTCAATTATGGAAGGATTTCAAACAAATTAGCCCTAAATTCTCAAATAACAATACCTTTCAGAAACACCAAGCAATGACGAGAAGAAGAGAAGCGGCAAAAATGGCAAATAGAAGAGGGAAGAAGAGAACATGGAGCGTCGCCCGGAAAAGACAATAAAGGACGACGAGATGATAATCGCCGACGTTTAGTGAGTGTTGTTCGATTTAACGAATTTTTTGTTTGTCAAAGCAAAATAGCATAGCATAAGACACGAAAATGGTTAGGTATGAAATTTATTATAAAAAAAGTTGTGAGCCTACAAAGTATTTTATTTTCCAAGTAAGGAGAATGTTTGGCGTGTGTTATGCTTCTAGCAGTGAATGTGTGTAGTGATATATTTGCGTTATGAATCGCTAAGTGCAGTGAAGATCGAAGACGTGTTTGGTTTTTGGGATATGCCGTAATGGTTTAGTGATTTTTATAAAAGGCAGTGAATGACAAATATATTTGTGGCATTTTATAGCAGAATGAGAAACATAAATATGTGATTATGTTGTGCATTAATTTGTTCTCATATATGTTATTTATGTAGTGCATTAAAAAAGTAGTGTAATTGTAAAAAAAAGTAGCCTAATTCATTCATTTAAATGCAATTGTGAAGGTAATTATTGTGTTGTAACTGGTGTTTGTGTAGTGACTGGAAAATGTATATTTACAATTGACAGTAGAATGAATAGCACATTTCATCAATACTTATTTTAGTGCACTATTTTGAACGTCCAAATGTTGTTTATGTAGGTGTATAAAAAAGAGTGGAGCACAATGGTTTTAAAAGCAATATCTGGGGTGGTATGTCATATTGCAATAGAGCCGTTTATTTAGTGCAGTAAGTAAGAGTATTGTGTGAAGTGTAATGTTTCCGAGTTAACCCCATTTCTGATTGGGATAAGGGTCCGATAGGGTCTCGAACTTACAAAAAAATGTCAAATAAGGTCATATATATGATACTCTGTACGTCCGACACCATTTGGGTTGGTTCCCGGTTAAATTTTTCAATGAATTTTTTTGAGCATCTTATTCCTTAAGTCTAGTTTACTAATATCAAATATGAACTAAAAATTCAACCGGGAAGGCATTCAAATGAATTCTTGAAAATAACTGCGCAGTTAAAAGCGCTGTTATCTTCAAGAATTTATTTGAATGCATTCTCGATTGAATTTTTAGTTCAAATTTGGCATGAGTAAACTAGACTTAATGAATAAGATTCTCAAAAACCTTCATCAAAAAATTCCATCGGGAACCGCCCCAAATGGCGTAGACCGTACAGATCATCTTATATATAACCTTATTTGACATTTTTTTGTAAGTTCGAGTCCCTATCTGACCCTTATCCCTTTCTGATTTGTTGGATAAGCAGGTACAATTCCGGCATATTTGTACTCAAAATGGCCAAATACATGGGAAGAGACGTTCTAGAAGTCAAGGCCGATGATGTGTGGCTTTACAAATAAAATTACAATTGAGCCCTTAGATTACTATGGAGTTGTGTTCGAGTGAAAGTTCAAATATTGAATCTTGAGTTTTGAATTTTGAGAACATGAGGGATGTGTTGTGTTATTTTTTGTTTTTGTTGAACTAATGGAATGGTTTATGATAGTTAAATTTGCTTTTATTTTTTCTTTGTCTTGCATTAATAGAATTTAGTAAACATGTTAGTGTTGTACCTTAACTATACGAATATTTCATTGCACTAAATGAAAAAGTTAAATGTAGTTAAGTGCAAAGAAATATGGAAGGCCGGTTTCAGTAAACTATAATTAATGAGTTAAATATATGACACATTGCATCTATTTAATGCACTAACAAACTATGAAAATATGAAAATTGATTAAAATGGGAAGGTGGGTGTAGTCCAATGGATGACCATCCACCCCCAAGTCTCTCCTTTGTGGGAGGTCTTGGGTTCAATTCCCACCAAGGGAAATGAGGGAGGTCTTGCTCCCAATGATTCTCCCTACCTTCACGGAGTTGCTCATCGTACTGAAGGTAGTGGGTTTGTGTCGTAAGAGGAGCAGCTTGAAAGGTGATGTAAGTCCTGCTGGATTCGTCCTTTGGAGCCAGTACTGACGAGGCTGACTGTGATCAGATCCGGACTTAACTGTCTAGGGGCTTTGGAGGATAGTTCATAGATTCCAGGATGATGGGAGCGTAAGCCCCGACACCTGGATTATCAAAAAAAATGAAAATGAAAATTGATTAAAAGTCAAGTTACTTATTTAACTTTGAAGAGTACAATTCAAGCACAAACAAACAAAATAAAAATCGTCAACATGAATGAATACATGTATATATAGTCACGTGATTTAT